ATGAAAAATCGGTACAGACGAACACACAGACACACAGACACACACACACACACACACACACACAACCTCTCGTCAATATGTGTTTTCTGCATTGTTTAGCTGCAAAAAACGCATAAAAACAGCTATCAAAGTTCATCAGCGTAGTGCCATGTTGGAGTGATAGCTTGCAATATTAGGCTATCAGAGTGCGTCAGGAACAAACAAAGTGAACGGCCCTTTCTCCCCCCGCTCCTCTCTCCTATGGCCAAGTGGGAAGGGAAAATCGCCAGAGTTCAAAAAAAAAGTAAAAAATTAAGAGCATGTTTCGTCAAAACCAACTGATAAAGCACAGAAGTATGGGAAAGGAAGCAGGAAAAGAAATGGGACCGCATCAGTGATGAGAAAATGGGAAGCCGACAGAGGAGGTGAGGTATGCAGAAACGATCTCAAAAGAGCTACTCTGAAATTTTTAAAAGAATGCAAGTCCGGCAAAACGGTGGAAGGGCCTGTCTGAAAGGATGTATGGAATTATGCAATGAGAGACGCGAAAAAGCCAAAAAACAGTCTTTCAATTCTGACTTACGCATCCAATGATATAATAAAACGAACATCGCTGAGGGATGCCACTGTGCTCCGGTACCACATTCGGCTTCAATGCGCCCAGATGAGTCGAAGAAGTAGGGCCATTCGGATAGCGAAACTTCTCCTCCAGCGAGCCGCCGCCTCCAGTTGCACTCGATGCACTGCTGCTTTTGGTCATTTGGCGCATCACTGAGGTAGGCATAAATGCATTCGGAAGAGGGGTAGCCGCAGAGGTGCGCGACTGCCCCGACGTGGTGGCCGCGCCAGCCGTTGGTCGAATCTGCGTCGCCGCCTGCTGCATGACGTTGTTACTCGGCGTCAGATTTGATAGCACCTGTCTGCAAAACAATCCCTCACAGAAGAACCAAACCAACATCGTACCATAAAGTCAGATAAAATATCAAGTGAAAATTTGACTGTAAAAAAGACTTGAACAACGAAGAAGCTTGCCTGAAAGCACTGTTATCGGTTGTCTGTAATGCTGGTCGTGTACCGTTCAGCGCTTGAAGAAAGGCCGCGGTTTCACAGTGAGAACGAAGGACGGCTGCTTGAAGCGCGATATCCGAGAAGGACGGATGCGCCAGCGGATGTGCTGTGGCTGCTGCTG